ACTCATGGCTTAGTAAGATCAATCAGATTGATCGAAATTTAAAAAAAATAATTAAAATAACTTTGTTTTAAACAAAAAAAAATATATGTAAAGAATTAATGAATTTTTTTTTTACCCTGTTTTACCTTATTGAACATGCCAAACACTACATTGTCGAGAGATCCATCGGGCATGCACTATAAATTAAGCTCTTTCAGTCCTCTCATGGCAAAAACCCAAAAGATGAACTGTGTTTAAATGGGAAGTTCTACGAATGCTTGCAACTTCATTAATAAATTCTTCTCCATCAGCTTCAAGCTTAGTGAGGACTTTTACTGTCATAAGACGACCACCTAGCAACTTCCCTTAATTCGTATACACCATCAAATCCCCATTTATCTAATCTGTTGTTAAATGGGTTGTTCATTTTTTTAATATCTGTAAATGAATACCCATTTGGAATAAGAGAGTGATAATTCACCGTGAATGCCTCAATCTTTTCATTGTGGTTTGTATTCTCCCGCCAGGGTATCATTGTCTTGAAGTCTAATTTTTTTATATTTTCTAGGTATATAAAAATCGTTTAAAAGTTCATTATATTTTATTAAATATTAATATGAATATAAAAAATATTTATTTATCATTAAATATTATAAGGGTCTCTTCGTAAAATTAAAAAAAAAATTATAGACTATAAATACATAATAACTTATACAGAATATAGGGTTGCAATTTTTATTTTTTTATTGGATATATAATTTTAGAATATTTTTTTAAATATTATTATATTTAACAATTGTTTTTTTTTTTAAGAACTTATAACAGGTCGCGTGTGGGGCCCAATCCCTGCTCTTGACAGGAAGGTACCTCTGCTGCTCAATGCGCGTTGGATATCCCTTTCATTTCTTTTTTTACTTTTCTCCACCGAAAGTCCATCTTCTTTACAGTGCAAGAAAGAGATCCGTTAGAAAAATCCAGGAAACCTACCGGTTCGAGTTCTTGACCTAAAGAAACCGGAAGAAATTCGAAGTCATTGGAATAAAAGGAAAGAAAAGGGCATTGGAAGTTGGATACTAAGATACCAGAAGAAGATAAAATATTGGGCTTGGCTAGATCGTGTGCCTCTTTAGTCAACACTTACCACTCGGTGTGTTTCGTTTAGATTCGTGAAATACTCGTAGAAATTTGGTGTTTTCTGATTTCTAAGTAGAATTGTACATGTTGCAGCTTGAAATTGCTAATTGGTATATTTTATGTGAAAAAATAATATAAATATTTAAAACAAAGCTATTAATATGATATTTATTATGCTTTTTATTGTTAAATTTTGTCATCCAGGTTATGATTTGAAGTCAATTGTGTGGAAAGATGTTGAGAATCAAAAGCGACAGAATCATTTTAGCTATTACTAGTTAGATGACCCGCACGAGACCGTGGTCAATTATTTTTTATATAAAAAATATTAAAAAAAACTAATATTTAAAAGTATTAGGTTTTTTTATAAAGTTATATTTAAAAATATTGGGTTTGGCTGCAACGCCCGATTTAAAAATAATATTTATAATATTAATAATAACTAGGGGTGTTCAAAATAACCGATTAACCGAGAAAACCGATAAAACCAAAGAAAAATTAACCAAAAAAACCGAACCGAAATAAAAAATCGATTAAACCGATTGTCAAAACCATAAATTTTAACAGGTCCGGTTCGGTTTTGGTTTTGAACCAATAACCAGAACAAACCGAACCAAACTCATTAAAAGCCAAAAATTTCATAAATATTTGAGATATAAATAGTTAAATTGTAACCTAACCCTAACAGTTAACATAACCTTCATGTCTCTCACAAAAAGTCGCCGCTCCCCCCCTCTCAATTAATTTCTAATCTTCCCTTTTCCAGTTTCCCAATCTTCCTCTCAGTTAATTTCTAATCTTCTTTTCTCGTTTCCCAATCTTTCTTTCCAGTGGGTTTATTGAATGAGCTTTCAATGCAAAGATTACATTTTTCAACTTCACATACACATCCAAAGAAAATTGATATCCAGTGAGAGTTAACAATTATTTCTTTCCCTTGCTTCTATATATTTATAAGCCTCTGTAACTTGAAAATTTATAGTAGCTTATACTTGCTATGTATGCTTCATAGGAGAAGAACAAAGCTACCACAAAGACAAAATCTTTGCGCATCTTTGTCACTTCTTGTATTTTTTTTCTTGTTTTTATCTTTCCTCCCTTTTCATTCTTAGCTGTTTTTCTTGTGGTAAGTATTGGTGGTAATGGTTGAGATCGGTGGGACTAATGACAATGGAAACCATGGAGGAGTTGTTTTAGATATATATTAAAGATAATTATCCTTCATCTGGCTCCATAAAGGAAGTTTTTGTCCTGAATTTATTTGTCTTTCATGCAAAAGATGCTGTAAAATCCATCTTCTTTCTGTGCCTGTGCTTTCTCCTTGCCATAAGAAAAATCTGGATGATGGGATTAGGTTTTCCGGTTTTTTGCAAAAAAAACCGGATTTAACCGAACCGGACCGGTTCAGTTTGAACTGGTTTTCGGTCCGGTTCGGTTAATATTTCATAAAATTAATGTAATTCAGTTTGGTTGGTTTTTTAAGTCTAAACCGAACCGAACCGAACCATGAACACCCCTAATAATAACATTAAATATGCATAACCCAAATTTAAGTGGGTTTGACTGCAATACCATACCCAATAGTCTTGGATGTGGGTGTAGCTGCAAGATCGTATCATAAAAGTATAATAATTAAATAGATTAAGAAAAAAAACATAGGAAAAAAAACCAACATAAAAAAATAACTAATAAAAAAAACTGAATTAATTAGGTTAACCCTTCAAACCAGGTTAACCCATCAAACATTGGATTCGTGTTGTGAAAGTTTGATAACTAAATAGAAAAAAAAATTGATAGGTTAACCCTGAATTAATTGGGCTAACCCGTCAAACCCGGAATCCATGTCATGAAAGTTTGATAAGTAAATAGAAAAAAATTTAACATTAACAAACTAAAATAAACAAAAAAATTAATTAAAAAGAAAAAAAATAAAAACAAACAAAAGGTATCGGCCTTTTCACTATGGACTGCACTTTGTAATCCGCAGTCAAAGGCATAAATAAAGAAAAAAAACTTATAGCAAGAAACAAACTAATGAAGAAAAAGAAAAAAAATCTAAATTAATCGGGTAACTCGTCAAACTTGAAATCTATGTCATAAAAGTCTGATAACTAAATAGAAAGAATTTTAATATCAACAAACCAAATTAAAAAAATTAATTAAAAAGGAAAAAAGAAAAAACCTATACGGAGAAAAAAAACTAATGAAGAAAAAGAAAAAAATCTAAATTAACTAGGCTAACTCGTCAAACATGAGAACTATGTCATGAAAATCTTATAACTAAATAGAAAAAAAAATTAACTTAAACAAACCAAATTAAAAAAATTAACTAATTAAAAAGTAAAAAACAAAAACAAACAAAAGGCATCAACTTTTTTACTGTGGACTGCACTGTGCAGTCCAAAATCAAGAGCATAAAAACAACAAAAAAAAAAAACTGAAAGCATCTGTAGATAACTAAATAGAAAAAAATAAATATTAATAAAATAAATTAAACAAAAAATATTAATTAAAAAGAAAAGAAATCTATAAGAAGAAAAAACTAATGAGGGGGAAAAATCTAAATTAAATATTTTAATCTGCCAAACCTGAGATTCATGTCATGAAAGTCTGATAACTAAATAGAAAAAAATGTAATATCAATAAAATGAATTAAAATAAATTAATTGAAAAAAAAAGAAGGCATTAGTCTTTTCATCGTAAACTCTACTATGCAATTCACGGGGGAAGGCATAAAAAGAAAAAAAAACCAAAGGCATCAACATTTTTACTGTGGACTGTATACAATATTAAAAGATGAAATTGAAAGAAAAAAACTAATTCAAAAAAATTTGAATCAACTAGGTTAACTTGTCAAATCAGATTAACCCATTAAACCTACGATTCTTGTTATGAAAGTGTGATAACTAAATAGAAAAAAATAATAATATTAATGAACTAAATTAAAAAAAAAAGATTAACTAAAAAGAAAAAAGCAAAGAGAAAAAACACACGAGAAGAAAAAAACTAATGAAGAAAAAAAAATCTGAATCAACTAGGTCAACCTGTCAAATCTGATATCCGTGTCATAAAAATCTGATAATTAATTATAAAAATTTTAATATTAATAAAGAAAATTAAAAAACAAAAAAAAAACAAAGAAAAAGGCCAAAAATATTAAAGGCATCAACTTTATCACTATAGATTGCACTGCGCAGTACACAATAAAAAGCTTAAAAAGAAAAAAAATGAAAAAAACAAAGGCAAACCCACAAGTTTTTTTTTTCTTGCATAAAAAAATATAAAAAGACTAAGATCTAAGAGTGTTAGGTATTTCTACAAGGATATATCCAAAAGCCTTGAAGCTAACTGTAACGCTTAACTCAAGAGTAATAGTTATAATATTAAATTTACATGACTCAATTTTAAGTAAGTTTGACTGTAACATCAAACCCAAGAGCCTTGAATGTGGGTCTAGCTGCAAGGTTGTGTTATAAAAGTGTGAAATTAAATATATTAATACAAAAAAACCAACATGAAGAAAAAGAAAAAAATCTGAATTAATAGGGTTAACTCTTCAAAGGAAGCTAACCCATCAAATTTAGGATTCATGTTATGAAAGTTTGATAACCAAATAGAATAAAAAAATTAACGGGTTAACTTAGAATTAACTCGGTTAACCCATGAAACCAGATTAATCCATCAAACCCTTGATATGTGTCATGAAAGTCTGATAACTAAATAAAAAAAAAATTGACATTAACAAACTAAACTAAACGAAAAAAATTGATTAAAAATAAAAAAAGCAAAAAAAAAACTCTAGATTACCTTGTCAAACCAGGTTAACCTGTTAAACCCGAGATCCATATCTTGAAAATCTGATAGCTAAATAAAAAAAAATTAACATTAACAAAAAAAAAATAGACAGGTTAACCCAAAATTAACTGGGTTAACCCGTAACACCAGGTTAACCCGTAAAACCTGAGATATGTATCATGAAAGTTTGATAACTAAATAGATTGAAATTTAACATTAACAAACTAAAGTAAACGAAAAAAATTAATTAAAAAGAAAAAAGAAAAAAAACTTCTAGTTATCTTGTCAAACTAGGTTAACCTATTAAACCCAAGATCCGTGTAATAAAAATCTGATAACTAAATAAAAAATTGATATTAACAAAAGAAAAAAATTAAAAAAATGGACAAGTTAACCCAGAACTAACTAGGTTAACTCGTGAAACCAAGTTAACCCGTGAAACTTAGAATATATGTCATGAAAGTCTGATAACTAAATAAAAAGAAATTTAACATTAACAAACTAAAGTAAACAAAAAAAAATTTAATGAAAAAGCAAAAAGCAAAAAACATTCTGGGCTAACTCGTGAAATCAAGTTTTCACAAGTTAATCTATTAAACTCGCGATCAGTATCATGAAATACTGATAATTAAATAAAAAAAATTTAATATTATAAACTAAATTAAATAAAAAAATTGTTAAAAGAAAAAAACAAAGAAAGAAGAAAAAAAAGACATAAAAATTAAAAAATTAAAAAAAGTTTAAAAGACAAAAAAAACAATTTAAAAAACAAAACAAAAACAAAAAAAACTACTCAACATTTTATTATGGGTTGCTATAGTGAAAAACGGAGCAGTTTTATTTTTTTTTAATTTTAAATTTTAACAGAAATCGTTATATAATTATTTGAATAGCTGAATTACCTTTTCTTTTCTTGTACTAAAATATTATTTTTACATCTCTACTTGGAGAAGCTAAAAACAAGAAGAAAATTTATATACTTATTAGCCACTATCTCTTTAACTACAGTTGACTTTTATTTCTCTATTTGAAAAACGGAACAAGAATAAAAGGAGCAGGGAGAAAAGAAAAAAACGTCCACTAACCATGACTGTTGTGTTGTTGCCAAGAGGAAAAAAGGTGATCGTAGAATGGTTGTTAGGGCTGCTGGTATGGGTGGTGGCTGCTGTGGTGGTTTGATGTGGCTATTTAGGTTGGTGTGAAGGAGATGGGCTGTTGAAACGATGACAGAGAGGCTGGTTCGTTGGTTAAGGATTCCGACAAGGTGAGGGAAATCAAGAATTGGGATTTTGTATTGATAGAAAAATGCATAAAAACTCCAATCCCGGAAGCAAAAATTGACACTACAAGCAGGAAGGGAAGTGCTATTGAAGGGTGTAGCGGCGGCAATGCCAAATTACATGATCTTGTGTATCAAATTCCTTACCAGTTTTTTATTGGAAAATTGATAGGTGCACCAGAGAAGTTGAAAATATCTCTTAAAATCAAAGCTTGTGGGGGCATGGGTTTTAAAGAAATTGAGTCTTTCAACAAGGCCCTTCTGTAAAAGTAGTGTTGGCATCTCAAGAACAGTCCTAATGGTTTGTGTAGCAGAGTGCTGAAAGAGATTTATTTCCACACAACGAAATATTTGGAAGCAAAAATAGGTTCGAATCATTATTGGATATTACAGAGTAAGTTGGTTAGGAAAGAAGTTCTAGATCCGTTTGGAAATTTGAAATTTTTCTCTTCTTAAAATTAATTTTTTATATCTTTGAATTGTTTTGACGTTCTTATGCCTAAATAATCCTTCTCTTTTAGTAAAACGTACCAAATGATAAAGACTGCTAATAACAGTACCACAGGAGCTGATATGGCTTAAAAGAAGAAAAGGTAGGAACCATGAAATAGCAACCACCACTGGTTATTGAAAAAGATAGAGGAAGATACAAAACTTTTGTAATGACAAGTAGCCAGTGTCTGTTCAAAAGTCATGTAGCAGAAATCAAAACATGAAGGATTAATCGAAGTACTTGTACTTCATTTGACTAGTTAGATGGCATGCTGAATTATATTCTACTACCAGCAGATTTCTAAACTCTTTCTCTGTCAAGTGCAGGTGAAAAGGAACACCTATTTGTAATGTGCTATTACAGCCTCCCTTCCTTTTTTTTCGTCTTCCCCAAAGCCTTGTAAGCAGGGATTGGTTCCTGCTATTTCATCTTCGATTGATGAGCTCACTCTGTCCCTCCTATGTTGGCCGTTCAGGTTCATGGTCGTTATAATGACCAGAGTAAGAAACGTATAGAAGTTCGTTATGAAAATTCCAATGAAGCTTTGATGATACTAACCATAAGCAATAATATAGGTCGACCTCTTCGTCTTGTCTAAACTTTGAAATTATAAACAATGACAAGCAAGCAGGAACATATCAATTCTACACTTCCCACATATTAAACATCAAGTACATACTAGAATTTGTTAACATCATGGACAAAAAATGAAGGTAAGAGATAGTGTCTCTTACCAGCACTGTGAGAGTTTCCTCCCGTGCATGAGCTATTTCATAGCAAAATTAATTCAACCAAGAGCAGCACTTAGATGAAGAACAAATACAAGTTTATTTTTTTATTTTTATCAGGCTAAATAAAATTTCTAATTTCCAGTTACAAGGCACTTACATCTGCAGACAATGTGTTTAGCCCACCCCCCTGGGACGACACGCAAGGCAGTGATGATACAGTGGAAGAGTGATCTTGAGCGGACCTTCTTGGAGAGGAAAGGGAAGGTCTCGGTGGAAATTGCAAAGACTGAAGACTGCCTTCAAACATCTCTACAACCTTTGTCATTGATGGTCTATGTGACGGCATGGTTTGGATGCACCACAAACCCACTAAAATCATCTTTTGAACAATCTCTTCTTCCTCTTCCGTTGTAACTCCATGAAGTGTTGAAATCTTTTCTGGTTCAAGATATGTATAAAACCAATCCGGGAAATACATCTCGTTGGTTTCCAGCGATCCCATATCAAAATCTTTACTTTGTCCGACCATTTCAAGAACCATCATTCCATAACTATACACATCAGACTTGTAAGTTACTCCTCCAAAATTTCTGCAGAATACTTCAGGCGCTATGTAACCAACAGTTCCTCTGGCATCTATCATCGAAATCTTACTCACTTTGCTCTGGCATAGCTTCGCGAGACCAAAATCTGAGATCTTTGGACAAAAGTCTTCATCAAGAAGAATGTTGTGGGGCTTTATGTCAAAATGCACAATCCGAGTGTTACACCCTCTATGCAAGTACTCCAGACCTCTAGCAATACCAACTGCAATTTCATATAATCGTTTCCATTCTAAACGACATTTTGTATGTGGGGATCCTTTATCAGATAGGAAGCTATCTAAAGATCCATTGGGCATGAATTCATAAATCAGAGCTCTTTTATTCCTCTCGTAGCAGAAGCCCAAAAGGGTAACTACATTCACGTGGGAAGTTCTACTGATGCTTGCAACTTCATTCATGAACTCTTCTCCATCACCTTTAGACTCTTTTAGGACCTTTACAGCCACAAGACGACCGTCATCTGGTAACTTTCCTCTGTATACATTACCAAATCCTCCCTGGCCTAGTGTATAGACGAATGAGTTGGTCATTTTCTTGATATCTGAATAAGAATAACGCTTTGGAGTAAGAGAATGATAGTCCATCATAAATGTTTTAACCCTGCCAACATGCTGCGATTTCTTCAGCCTGAAGGTCATTGCTATGACAGCACTAAAGGAACCTTCTCTTCTAGTGAGATATATTGTTATTACAGATAAAGTTAATATCGCTGCCACAGCTACTGATGTGCCTGTCATTCAAGATGCATCATCATCATCAAAAGAGAATATTAGATTTCTTATAATTATATAATTTATATTATTACCTGCAGCAATCTGTATTCGCCTACCTCTCATAGAAGATCCTGTAACATGACATCAAATAATGTTAGGGAGTTGTCCAAGTTAGGACTCCACTCAAAAGAACTTGTATACAAAGATGGTTACCGTCTCTAACCCAAACAAATAGACTCATATTTTATGGTTAGAGCCTCATTTTTCTCGTTATCTACACTATAGATAAAAGACTGCTATGAGTGTTAACATTTGCAGAGACTATGAAACACTTGTTACTTAGAGATTTAAAATTATAGTATTTTATACTTATCAATTTTTAATAATAAAAAAATTACATCAAGCCTCTTTTATCCTTTTTTCACACTCCCAGTTGTTTAAAGAATTATACTTTACATCAACTTAATAACTTTATAATACTTTGCATCTTTCAAGCTTTGACTCAAAAAAATATCAACTAAAAAAATAAATTATTTACAGATTTGTTATTATATTTTATTTAATGACTAAAAAGCTGTTAAAATTATAAAATTATAGATATTAATAAAGTTGCAATACCTTAGCTTTAGGGTATATTGATGTGGGATTTTGTTTTTTAATCTTTTGGCATAATCATTTTTACTGTCATATTTATTTAATTTTTTAAATTTATAAGGATTTGTTTAGTTTAGAAATTTTAATGTGCTAATTTGATTCTTTAGTCATGCAACTTTCAATTTCAATAAACATAGATGCTTTCTCTATAGGAGATTTAAGGAGGAGCATATGATGGAGACTCCATATTTGTCATGCATAACCTAATAATCGTTCCACAAATTAGTACTAGCAATAAAAAAAATAATGTACTCCAGTTTTTAATTAAAAATCTCAAACCCCACACATATAATATATGAAAAAAAAAATTGAAGTAAATTTATTTTGCACGTATTTGGAAATATATAAATTTGAATGATGCATATCCCTAAATTTATATAATTACAAAAGTAAACTTATGAAAGTTGAATATACTTTTTCATGCGTGCAAAATTAATATGCATTCAAACATGAAAAAAATTGATCTTTAACACAACTTTTGGAACCAATTTTGTGACAGAAATGATTTCAATTTTGTTCTCTCAGCTTAAAAAAGATTTACTTAACATTTCATGAACAAGAAGTGGATCGTTGATTCCAGCTTATGGTCATAAGGGGCAGAGTGAACACAAGACTCGAGCAAAGAAGCCTAATTTTGAACATTGACCTCATAACAAATAACCAGGAATGCTATAATTGATGAATTACTAATAATAAATAAAAATTAATGGATTTGAGAGCCTTTTCAAGCATCAATTCTTGAAATCAGTGAAGCATTATATAACTTGAAAAGAACCTCCTCTCATCAATTTCCCCAATAAGGTTCACCAAACAAACTCATGAAAACTAAAGATTTTTGCTTACCAGGACAGAGCTGATCATTACAAATGCAAATAGGTTTAACCAACTGTGTATCAAACCCGCAATACCCACCAGGGTGCTCCTTGTAACACTTTGAACAATTAGCACTGTAACTGACATCAAACCCTTCTTTCAAAACCTCACCAACTAATGACCCGTTATCACGAAGCTGTTGTGCCCGACTCCCAAGAATTGGCACTCGAATATTAGTATGACACTCAAACGCATCCGGAAAAGAATATTCACCGTAAGGGTAAGCAATCGAGAAAAACCCTTCTATTGTAACTCCATCATTGTCACAAGAGAACCTAGAGATTTTTAGCAGCAGATCTGATCCCATGTAAGAGTCGTTAATCTTCTTGCATCCATAAAACAACGAAAGTTCATGGTTGGAACCAAGAATGGAGATTTTGTTATCCAGAATGGTGCTAGTGAATTGGAGGGTGCATGGACCGTCGTCGGCGAGGTCTGAACGTGAGAGTCTTAAGGTTTGGCTGGTCTGGTCAAGATGAGTGACTCGGTAACTCAGTGAGTTAGCTTTTAGGATGGTGACTGATTCATCCTCACATGTGAGGCCGAACTCCGGTGGGCCGCAGTGGGATGGACGGAGGCCACCAGTGAAAGGGTAGGTAACGTTTGTGAGGATACCACAGGAGAAGTTTTGATTACAGTTTGAAAGATTACTAATGCCATTGGAAGGAAGCGATGTCGTTAAGTGGAGGGAGAGAAAGAGGGTGAGAAGGAAAGAGGTGGTGGTGGTGGTGAGGGGGTGCATTGGTGGAGGAATCAGAAGTGGTTGTGCAGCAGCTGGTGGAATGGTGGGGAAGGTTAAGAGGGTGGTGTTCTGGTGTTGGTAGAGGGAGAGTGATTGTATAGAAGTGACTATTGACTTGGTTATGGCTATGCTTTACTTTTGTTTTTATTGTTAATTCAATCGTTTTTTTGTAAGATAGATGATAGTTTTGTCTTGAAAACAATTTTCTCAATAGTAAGACTAAGTTCATGATAAATTATTTAGTATGAAAATAAATTCTATTATAATTGTTCAAAGCTCTTATTTTATATTAGTGAAATATAAGTTCATATTTACCTTAAAAACATGAATTAAGAGATTATGGTGAAATTATTTTTTTTTCTTTTCTATTTTGTAGGAAAAGAGGGTTATTTATCCAGAATTGTCTAATGCATTTGAGTTTATAATTTGTTTCTTCACTGGATTCCATGAGCGAGCTACGATCTTTCCATAAGACTGAAGTCACGAGGAAATATCTTTGTATGATGACACTAAAAAGTTGTTCAAGTCAATCGGAAGGTTACTAGGATCTTTCCTTGAGAATTTTGATTTGTTTGGCTAGCTAGAGGAGACTTGTATGGATAGAATGGGTGGCATAACAGGTTCAAAAATCCTTCAACCTTTATAATTTTCTTAACGTCATCCCTATCAATTGATTTTTTTTCGGCGTGGCCCTTCTACTCATCTTTCTGTAGTAAATTTATATCAATATTTTTCTACCACCATCACTTTTCAACCATCATCATTTATGATAAATATATTAAAGTCAGCTGCAATATTTTAGTCGGAAGTTGTTTGGTATTTCTTGATTGCTGCCATTATTTCTCCTAAATGAAGATAAAGAAAGAGCAATACTAGAGTAGGTGTGTGCAGTGAGTGCAAATACAACTAAAAAAAAAGAGAAGAAAAAACAAGTGTAAAAATGAAATACTAAATTTTATAAAATTGTATTGGATTGAATGGAATGTTTGTATTATGTTTGCTTTTATTACATAATGCATAACACATTCATCGCTCAAAGAAGTCTCTCTGTCCAAATCAAGATGCTAATGCTGAGGTGTGGACTGATAAATGACACCCACTGCCAATTTTTTCCCTTGTAATCCAGGACTAATAAAGAATCCCGAAACAAGAAATCAATTCAAAAACCGTCTCAAAAGAATCTGGAATTGAAAGAAGCTATCTATAGTCGTTAATGTGGGAGTGAAGCCAAGGAAACTCCATCCATGTTTTAAGCTCCAAATAGATCTTTCACTACGGAGAGAAAGAGTGATCCAAATCCTATATTAAGTACTGTAGGAAAGAGAAAGTGCGTATATGACTTAATCCTAATTTTCTCAGAAAATCTTGTTTGTTCGACAAAGAAACTATTCACGAAAAGGGGATTGATGGGTGACTTTGGTTTTTGTTGGGTCTTGCGGTAATGGCAAAGAAAGGTTACCATGCATAAAAAAAAAAGGAAAAAAAAGGAAGAGATGTGGTGGAGATGTTGTTTTGTAATGGAAAAAGATGATAATTTATTTATTTTTAGATTTAAAATTGAATTTTTTTTGTTATTTTTTAGACGTTCTGGTATCTTTTTTCGCTATTATTATTTTTTAGTTTTTTTTAATGTATTTTTTTAGTTTTTTTTTTGTATTTTCTTTTTTTATATGGGGATCGGGTAACAACAATAATTATTAATTTATTTGTTAAAACAGCAGCTGAATCATTATTTTAACACACTGTCGCTGGATATTCTGCTGGGTTTAGAACTAGTGCTGCTATTTCGTCTGTTTTTACTTTTTACCATTTTTGCTGCTGGAAATTTTCCACTGTTACGTTGAAAAACTGTTGCTGTTTAAGCTGCTGCTCCTTCTCTTTTATGCTCCTTCTACATTAACCCTTGTATTTATAAGGAAATTAGTATTGATATTGAAAAAAATAATTTCTATAAAATAATTTACAAATTTTCCAAGATTTTATTAGTAATTTGAAAGTTGGGAAGTGATGGAGATGGTGACGAAGATGATGGTGAGATAATTATTAATGTTTAAAAAATAATGGTGGTGGAGAGGTGATTGTTGGTGACGTGGGAGTTGAGATTTGAATAATAATAGCGTTAATAGTACAAAAAGTGGGGATAATTGATGATGGTGGAATATAGTATTGTTAAAGGTTGATTTATATATTATACGAAAAAAATATTATTTTTTTATTTATAGGTTAAATTATCAGTATGTGACCTTACGCCTTCAAACTAAGACTTTATTTACTGGAAAGTATTTTTTTAAAAATAAATTCTAAAAAAGTAAATTATTTTTTAATATTTGGTAGTATAATAAAAAATAAATTGGAAAATATTTTCTAGTATTTGGTTATGTCATGAAAAATAAGCTCGAAAATAATTGATTAACATTTTATTTTTTTCAAGTTTATTAAAATAATGAGGAACAAATATTACAAATTAAAAGATTAAATGAGAATAAAATTGAAAAAAAATATAATTTCATAAATTATCTCAAATAAAATAAATAATAATCAAAATAATAGAGATCAAATATAAAAAAATAAAAAATAAAAGATGAAGAAATTAAAATAATAATAATTAACATTTCATAAACTATTTCAAATAAAATAAGTAACAATCGAAAGAATAAGAACTAAATTTGATAGATAAAAAATTTCAATAAAAAAATAATAGGAGAAAAACAAATAACAATTATAAAAATAAATATTAAAGTTAATATAAAAATTAAATTTTAAGAGATAAAATTAAAAAATAAATATTCAAAACAAAATATATATAGCAATCAAAAATTTGATGATCAAATTTGATATAATCAGTAAATAATATGATATTTTTAAATTTTTCACAACTTCCGGAAAGTGTTTGCCGCTCAAATTTTCTAAGAAAACATTTTTCAAGAAATCAAGCCAAAGTTTTCTTTGACTGAAAAGTGTTTTCCGTTGATCAATTTTCTTGTAACTTTTCTGATGGCAAACAAATATAAAAAAGTTTAAAAAATTATTTTTCAAAAAATAAATTCAAGAAAACAAGCATAATCTAAAACTACATTAAAGTTGATATTGTGAATTACAATATTTTAATGTCAAAATATATACCTCTCCTCCCATCTCTTCAATTATAATCTAATGAAATTCTTAAAAAATAACTAAGCTCATTTTTTGTATGAAGCATAAAGTATATACTATACTGATTTGGTAAATTATGTTTTTGATGGTAAAAATACGATGATGAAGAACAGAAACAAAGAAAAAAAATCAAAAATCAAAACTTGAGATGAATGTAGACATTATTTATAAGGATATTATCTTTACACAGAACTCAATGACGTAGAAATAACTAGACAAAAAGTGAAAGAAAATACCCAACAATTTTTTTAAGGTGCAATTAAAAAGTTTAGGTTCTTGTATTTTTCATATTGAAAGAGTGCATTAGTCTGTATCATCTAAAAAAAATAGAGAATTAAATAATAATATTTGTTACAAGAATTTAAAAAATAAAATAGTTTTTAGAAAAATATAGTTATTATATGACTGTTGGAAAATTAAAAAGTGCATGGTATACGTATAGAGGTTGATAGTTACGAAGAAAAAAAAGTGAGAATTAAAATTAATTTTAAAATAAAAACTATTAAAAAAATATAGTTGTTGTGCGAATGATGAAAAATTAATTTCAAGCATCGGAAGGGGCAATCAAAGGTTTTTATTTTGCTTAGTTCAACCCTATATGGATGAGCCTATCAATTTTTTTTATTGGTTATTATTACATGTCAAGGTTTACTATATAAAATTAAAAGAATATTTTATTTTTTAACATAGAATTCAAAACTCATTAGTGTGTATTTAAAAAAAATTATATTTTTTTAATATAAAATAAAAATGATTTTAAAATAATCTCTCAAACATTATTATTTACAACAAGTTTTATACTATATCAATTTGGTTTTGGTTTTCTAAATCATTGTACAAAAGGATGAATTTTTATTTTACACTTGTCACTATAAAAACATTTTACATGTCTATAAGAAACCATTGATAGCTAACTTCTAAAATAAATAACATAAGTACACATAACCAGAAATATTTTTACGAAGGCATCCAAGTCGATATAGTGCATGGACATTTTCGTGGTGAAAATTAATTAAATGGTGAAAAACTATCGTTATAATTCTAACAAAATCATCATTAAGAAAAAAAAATCATTTGTGAAAATCACACATAACCCTTACATGATTTTAATTACAACATCTTTTAATTATTTTAGATTTGTTTGGAGACAAAAGGTTATATTATGCACATTATAGTTCTTAAAAAAGAAAGATAATTTGATGGAGTTAAGAAGCATGTAATCGATCAAGGAGGCAACTTCTAGCGATTAAGTTGATAAATAATATCTCTAACAATAAGAGTATTTAGGTTGTGGGTGGGGATATATATATATATATATATATATATATAAGACTTCCCCAGGCCCATAGGAAATGAAAATATATATATATATATATATATATATATATATATATAAAAGACTTCCCCAGGCCCATAGGAAATGAAAATAAGTTTATGGCATATTAAATTTCTCACCGTTGTATAATTATGATTAAACAAATTATAATAACAACAAATTGGTCAAAAAAATGATAATAAGAAAATTATAATGACAACGAATTGGTCGACAAATATAAATTTTTTTATTAATTCCCATGTTACCAAGTCTTTGTGAGTTACTTAAAAGTCCTTGCTTCCTTGTTACACAGGAAGTAATAGGTCAAGGAAGATGTTTTCTTCAGGATCATGGAAATTTGAATAATTCCTAATGGCTGTCCAGGCTCATTACTTAAACCAAAGGAATGGTGATTCGCACCTTTTCCTGGGGTGATTGGATGCAATAATATCGCATCCTCTTCATGGTTTCCTTGACTGATAAGAGGTCAGTTTTCTATTAGCAAAGATCCTACTTCTACCATTACCTAATTTGGAGGACGTATCTTGGGTTCTGGGAAGGGCAGAATCCAAGTATAAGTTGTCTGTTTTCCTATTTACTCCTAGAGTGACATCAGCAGGA